CCCCCCCCCCCCCCCCACCACATCCCCCACCGATCCCACCACCTATTAACAAATAAAATTCTTTGGTTACTATTAAGTAAAACGTCTTGCTGGCAATGAGATATTTTAAAGCTAATTTATTCAATTCGTATCTATATGAATTTCTCTCGAACAATTAGTATGAAATTACTAGCAATTTCTTTGAATTTGCGCATTGCTTTATTCGCCTTACATTCGCATTCATTTTGCTTTTGAGTCAATTGTTGGCTTGCTCTTAAAGCCCTTGTGTAACAAAATAATATAGTCGAATGTTAGTTACACGTGACTACTTGTATGGGTGCTATGAATCATTTTATTAGATAATTAATTTTAATAAGGATGTAGCATAAATAGAACAAGTGAGAGCGAAGCCTAAGCTTCCACGTAGAGAATAATTCATTTTTAGACGAACAATTAGTTTTATTTCCAACTATTTGAGATTCGTATGGTAATTACGTTTATATATATATATATATATATATATATATATGATTTCCCAGAAACTTTCCAGAATGATGTTTTTAATAAGCCTAATAGCATACATAGTATACTTTAAATTAATTTTATAGGAGCGTCCAAGTATGTGTTGGTATTGCTAATTAATTTGATGCTAAAAGACAAACTGACTTAGAAAGTATAGCATTAGCAGAACATCGCTGTACTTGACCTTAAATTGTGGAAAACTGTTAAATAAACTAATGATTATGGCAATTACCTGTATGTTTTTAAATATCGTTTCGAGCCTACATGTCAATAAAGCGGTTACATTGTTTAAGTAAAGAGATACTTACCGAAGCCAGTTTCAATGCTCGATACTAAAGAAACCTTCCAACATTTGAAAAAGTACGAAGGAACTTTAGATTCGTGTTTCGAAATCTATATTCACGAGAAGATTAATTATTTAAAAAATAAAAAATAAAAGAAATTCAATTATTAAATTTATACATATATATATATATATATATATATATATATACATACATACATACTTACTTACTTTCTCATTTATTTATAATTTGCCGTATGCTATAATAAAAGATTCTTACTTCACGGTAATTTTATTGCCTTTTTATATTACGTAAAACATATCATAGCTTTATTTCTTGTTTACATTATAATTTGCTTTTCTGATTGAGAAGTTAAGTCTTATTGTATCAATTACAGCATCTCAAATGAAAATTATCTCTGTGTAATACTTGTATGGATCAAGATTTCTTAAAATTCACAAGGACAAATTTTCTTTCATTAATACAAACATTGAGCTTGCATAGTTCAAAATTTCATGCAGATTTCGTACACATTATAAGTAGTCATAATAAGACTAGAAATATAATATTATATGAAGTTATAAAATATGTTTAATGTCTATAGACATTCAAGAAGCTTATTATAATATAATATATTATCGATTAACTTATAAATAAATAGAGTTATAAAAAAT